TTTCTTCATTCTGAAGGCTCAAAGAATTGTTTTAATTTTTAATTCTTATGAAGCTACGTCAACAACAAATCTTTTTTTTAATTTTTTGTAGTATTGCTTCTACTATCTAAGGAGCAACATTGAGCGTCATGACCCAAACGAAAGTAAAAAGAGTTTCAATTCTTTTTTAGTTATTATTTTTCTTTTCCTTCTTTTTACTTAAAAATCAAGGAACTTATTTTTTTTTATGTGCAACCTATTTCTCATGGTTCATGCAAATTAATAGATTAGTAATAAATAAATAAAAAATATTCTTTTCACCTTTTACTCTAGAAGTAGCTAGCCCCATCATTTTCAGATTTAATTAGCATATAGGTTTAAGGACATGCTTTTTTTAAATTTCGTGGATGTCAATTAGAAAATCTAGAGTTCACATTTTTATAATCATAGCTACAAAAATGGAAAGAGGAGTTTGCATTTATTTTGAAATCTTATTATATAGTGTGGTGGAGAAAAAGTGGATGTTGATGTAATAATAGCAAAGATGGTGTTCACGGTTTGATTTGAATTAATTTTTAGTTAAAATTAAAATTAAATTAATTTAGTCCCTTTTTTTAATTTATCAAAATCAAATCAATCAAATACAATTTATACGTATCAATTTAATTATTATTAATTTTGGATGAATTTGATTTGATTGTTCAATTTTTAATCATACAAAAATATATACTATCTCCTTCTTATATATTTTGTTTTCTATTCTTATTATAAAGTGTGGGGGAGAATAAGCGGATGTTAAAGTATTTAACAACATTGCATATTTGTAACCATGTGTACATTGATTCTTGGATTTAATGATTAAACAACAAGTTGACTCTAATTTGAATAATGAAAAGAGGTTTGAATAATTTTGATATTCTCCAAAAGTTATTTAATTTTATATTTTAAAAGTCAAAATTTTAAACTACGAATAAAAAATTGCTTGGTAATTAACATCGAGTATTTATGACATTTGTCTAAATATATAGTAAACTTAAATTTAAATATAATACAGTTCAATAAAGTACAAATTAAAGGCTTAGTCTAGAAGACAAAGTCACACAATTTTATTTGTGTGTGTGGAGGGGGGGGGGCGGGGTTTCCAAGTAGACGTTTGTATATGAAATGAGTGATATTTGAAAAAAAAGAACATTTAAGTTGAAGTTGAAAAAAGGTATTTGAAAGTGAAAATTGTATTTAGACAAAAGCATTTCACGAAGAAAAAAATAAGTTGAAATCTTGTGCGTGGAAAAAATTCACTTGAAAAACTTATCTTCGAAAACTAACCAAAAAATCATTCTTATGTATAACAAAACAACATTTTGATTTTTCTTTTTTGAAGAAAATGAACAAATACACATGTCAGAACGAGCCCTATAATTTTGAGCTTAGACAAGTGGAGCAACTTCAACTTCTTTAACCAAATCCAAGAGTCACACATTGGTTATGAGCAGGTAGTTTGGTCTGTTTATATGATTTTGAACTACGCTAACCTTATAAGTTAGTGCGTTTTTATGATCGAGTTAGGCTTAAGGTTTGTTTTCTTATCAATAACAGACACCCTATAACGACTCGTAGGATATCGATGAATCGTGTATTTCTTTAGTGTGTGTATGTGTGTGAGCAAGTTGTTCTTTTGCCATGTTGGAGTAGGCAATTTGTCTTTTAAATGAAAAGAAAGATGTTGCTCTTAATTCATGTAGTGGACACAAAAATTAATTGGTTACAACAAGAAGGCACAATGTATGTAGTGAACTAATTATAAGTGTTAGCTTTTGCAGCTTTCACTTGATTTCCCATAAAGTAGAATATTCCTTAGCCTCTTGAACAATATATACTTTTTTTTTGAATGTATAGTTCAATGAATTGGAGAAATCCATGAGTTTTTAAGCACCAACAAATCCAGAATTTAGACATTGAGTTTTGAAACACCTCGGTTCATTGAATGTTCTACCTTAGAGGCTTAGACCATCGACATTATATGCTCTACTAAAATGGATTTCATGAAACAAAGTATAAGAATCATCTAAAGACTTGTGTATACAAATTATAATATATGTGTAAAAGTTTGTTAGCAATAATTTGATCTTCAAATATCCCAGTAGTTGTTATTTGAGAATGAACTAGGTGTTTAATTTGTTGCTCATGTAGTACTTTAGGTGTTTTTCGTGTTTATTAGTCCACTGATTTTTCGGAAATTAGTAGACTTGACTTCATTGGCCCCCAAACTTGTCCAGTCGGGCCCTCACATGCCTGTTAAACAATACTATTACATTTTCATTAATGACAACTATTTTTTCTCCATTTCAGTGTCACAAAATACGAATTCACCATGTAGTTTTCCCAAACAAGAAGTGATTTTTTTTGTGAATTACAATTACCAACATGTGATGAAAGATAGTAGTAAGAGACGATATGCTAGTAGTAGCGACTCATCACGATCCATTGGTTCATATAGATTCATGTCTTAGGATCCACTGTGTCCACCACGAAACCAAGAGGGTACTAACTAACGTACAGTGAAGTCCTCTCCAAACCGGCTCACCAACTTCATGATCACTTACAATACACAGGATCTACGAAGGAAGGGGTTGGGTTAGGAGCGTTTTCAGTACGATTCTTTACATGTATATGTTGCACTCGTGTTGGATCCTCCGAAAAAGGAACTATCCAACACACACCTCGAGGCATTACAACATAGCATTTCACCTCAAAAAGACTGGAACAAATCCAATCACCAGTAATCTCTGTAAGAACAGGTACCTTCTTTAAAATGGTGAAATCGATTTTCATCACGGGCAACGATCACCCTACTTGTAACCTGAGAAACAAACTTACAGAATGTGTGGCAGTCACCACATACTCTTAAGGTTCTTCATAATTCTAATAATGGATTGTTCAGGTGTGCTTATGAGGCCAAATGCAACAGCCAACTTTTCACTATGACAGAATAAGGTTTCCAAGCTTAAGTTCCTCATCAACATCATGCAACACAAAGTTTGTATCTGGAACATAACCAGAAATCTCTAGTTCCTTGAGCAGATATATTAACTTCTCGTAGATCTCTTTCGATAAACTATACAAAAACTGCATGCTCCCAAACTCTCGATCTTGCAAACAATACCTGCAATAGCGCAATGGAGAGCTCCATTATCTATTGATGTCGCGGGATGGATACTGGTCTCCCATGAGAGATAAGGTCAACAGCAAAGGATGTCACGGAAAGTGGTGGATGTAACTCAGCTCTTGCAATGTTGCAACTCGACCCTGTCACATATTATCAAATAAAATTTGATTTTAAAAGCAAAAATATTAGCTAAACATTACCATCAGATCAGAAGAAAATCATAATATCATGTGTTGCCCTCATAAGACTAGCATTTAAAATGTCATATCTTCCAACTGTTTCTTACCACAATTGCATACAAATCTCCTATTCTTACTCACAAACCACATATTTGGTGGACTTTCCTTCTAATTGAATTATGGAATTAACTCATCAGAAAATTTTTGTGACAACCAATTAGTCCACCATTCGAACGTAGCATTAGTAAGCTTTCTAAGTACTCCATCTTGCAAAAGAATTCAATTATCTGCAAGGAACATAAACACAACGACTACACAAAAAGGAGGAAGAAGAGAGCACAAGAGAAAAAATAGCCGGCCACATCAAGAAAGGATGTCACGGGCTCGCGGCTATGATCTCCTTAAAGCAAAATATTGAAGTCCTTTGCTGAAGCTCCTGCACAATAAATTATGATTATAGAACAAGGAAAAGGAAATTGAAACCATCGGAAGCCTTGAACCAACTACCACAGTTTCTGAGTATATTCAAATACTTCAACAGCAACCAATAGGAAAGTATAAGGCCAATTACCACCAGAAACTAAAAATTGAAAACATGAATTCAGCCACTTACAATAGCTTGAGCAACAAAAAGTAAATATAACAAAAACTAGCAGGATTGGAAAAAGAAAAAACAGGAGTTACAATTTTAGGAGTAGCAGAAATTTAGAGTTTGGTAAATTGTTTCAAGAGAAATGAATAATAAAGAGCTGAACTTTCAGGCAACTCAGGTATGGGAAAAGAAGTATTTCATTGTCTGAACAGAATTATTATTGAGGATTCATAGAGCACACCCCAACTAGTTTGTGATCGAGGCATAATTGTAACTTATCTCAGAGTCCTGCAAGCTACTTATCAATACAATAACTAATTCAATGTAAAATTAAGAGTAGAATGAAGCATAAAGAGACGATATATTGATACTAAGCATGATGGAACCATTTATTTGCTTGTCAAAGGGATCTATTTCAATGAACAATGCATTAATTACTGCCCTGTGGTTCAGTTTTCCCAGACAAGAAGTGATTTTTCTCTTCTTTCCTCTTTGAATTACAATTACCAACATGTGATGAAAGATAGTGATGCAGGAAAACATCTCAATTTCTGATTAACTAAGAGACATGAAAGGTAATTGAAATTAAACTTATGAAAAACTCCATATAGGAGGCACACCTTACATCATTGCAAAATAAGAGATCAGATGCTAGTAGTAACAACTCGTCACGGTCCTTTGTTCATATAGATCCATGTCTTAGGTATATCAAAAAATATTCTTTTTGGTAAGCGTATCCAAGAAAATAAGAGTGAAAATGTCCACCCCAAAATTAAGAGGATACTAAGTACTAACTAACAGTGGAGACCTGTCCAAACTGCAGGATAGAGTTGTCCATCATACGGCTCACCAACTTCATTTGCCTGGACAAGAGGCTTGTTGCAGGCAGGCTCAGATCACTTACAATACACAGGATCTACGAAAGAAGGGGTTGGTTAGGGGTGTTTTCGATATGATTCTTTTCACGTATATTTTCGATGAGAAATGTGAGTCTGTTTAGTCCACTTTCTTCATCCCCTCTCATCCTATGTTGTTCGGAATCTCCAAGAATATTGTTGCACCCGCGTTAGATCCTCTAAAAAAATGCACTATTTGACACACACCCGGCAGCATTACGGCATAGCATTCACCTCATAAGACTGGAACAAAGCCAATCACCAGTAATCTTTGCAAGAACAGGCACCTTCTTTGAAGTGGTGAAACCGATTTGCATCACGGACTATGATCACCCTACTTGTAACCTGAGAAACAAACTTACAGAATGTGTGGCAGTCACCACATACTCTAAGGTTCTTCATAATTCTTATAGTGGATTGTTCAGGTGTGCTTATGAGGCCAAATGCAATAGCCAACTTTTCACTATGAGAGAATAGGTTTCCAAGCTTAAGTTCCTCATCAACATCATGCAACACAAAGTTTGTATCCGGAACATAACCAGAAATCTCTAGTTCCTTGAGCAGATATTTTAACTTCTCATAGATCTCTTTCGATAGAGGATGGGTGTGGTCTCCAACGCTGAATCGGTGAATCTTGTTATCAACTTCAATCCATGTCCAACCGGGGACTTTCTTCAATTTCTGATGGCTCATTAATTCCCTAATCTTGGCCATGTCCTTCCATTTACCAGCTTTAGCATATATATTTGATAGCAAGACGTAGTGCCCTGCATTTTCGGGTTGCAATTCAATCAAGGATTTTGCTGCCATTTCGGCAAGCTCTACACGTCCATGAATTCTACATGCTCCAAGTAATGCCCCCCAAAGCCCTTCATCTTTTTCAACAGCCATATCCTCTATTAACTTTAATGAATCGTCAATTTTCCCAGCACGGCCCAAGAGGTCCACCATACATGTAAAATGTTTGATATCAGGCTTCACTCCGTACTCTTTCTGCATAGAATTGAAAAGTTGTTTACCTTCTTCAACCAGCCCGCTATGACTACACGCATACAAAAGAGAAACAAACGTGATCTTGTTAGGCAATATCCCCGTCCTTAACATCATAGGGAACATATCAACAGCTTTGTTTCCTTGGCCATGATAACCATAAGCTGCTATCATTGCACTCCAAGTTATAACATTCTTTTCTCTCAAACCATCAAACACTTCCCTTGCAACATCAACCGATCCACATTTAGCATACATGTCAACCATCGTTGTCCCCAAGATAACATCGAACGAAAACTTGTTCTTCACTATATATTCATGTACTAACTTAGCCTTATGCATTGCCCCTATCTTTGCACAAGCATTAACTACATTTACCACAGCGACTTTATCCGGGACAACTCCTTCCTCTCTCATTTGATCAAACAGAACTAAAGCCTCAGTCGGATCCCCACACTCCGTACACGCCCCAATCATAACGGTCCAAGTCACAACATCCCTCTTAGGCATTCCATCAAACAGTTGCTTTGCATCCCCAATAACCTTACATTTTGAATACATATCAACAAGTGCTGCAACAACAAAGTCATCTAACAGCAACCCACATTTGTAAACAACACTATGAATCAATCTACCCATTTGCAGATCCATTGTATCTCTACAAACCCTTATCACAAAAGGCAAAGTATAAGTATCTGGTCTAACCCCAGATCTTAAATACTCCTTAAAAGTTCTAAAACAGTTCATAAAGTCTCCAGCTTTAGCATACCCACCAACCATAACACTCCAAGAAACAGCATTTTTCTCACTAAATCCACAAAACAAAGCATATGAATCATCTAAAGACTTATGCATACAATATATGTATAGAAGTTTATTAGCAACAATTTGATTTTCAAGAAACCCATTAGTTGTTATTTGAGCATGAACTTGTTTTACTTGATAAAGATTTTTACACTTTATAAGTTGAGAAATATAGAATCTTGGATCAAAATAATGAGAAAATTGTGAAATTGGTGTTTGTTCAAGAACTACTTGATGATGATGAGTGTTGGCCTCAGCTATAGAGGGAGCTGAAGAATAACAAAGTGTTGCATATTTGGAAGACAAAATCTTTTGGGTTTTGGATTTGAACATTGGGAATTTGGCACCAATGGTTATTGATTCTTGAAATTTAGTTCATATATGGAGTTGATGGACTATACTTGGGACTGAAAATAGCCATTGCTTTTGAATTCAAGAATTTGGTATATTTTGGGTCATGAAACACAAATTCATGAATTTGATTATTTTTGTGTAATGACCATTCCGAATTCCTGAATTTGATTGAGCTTCGACTAAAGTCGTTTTTGAGATCATGAAGTCCGAATTAACGAATTTGATATTTTCCATGTGTATTAGTACATGTTGATTTTTCTAAATTTGATTGACGAACTTTAATTAGCCTAAAATTTGGTTGATCCCATATAAACAGCCAATGAGCAGTACTAGTTGCTTTCGCCAGGACTTACAACTTAGGGGTGTACAAGTCAAACCGTAAAGGCAAACCAAATCAAACCGAAAAAAATAAAAAAAACAATTTGTGGTTTGATTTGGTTGGTTTGGCGATTGAATTATCAACTCTTCAAGGAATAACACCAAGAGTTGCTCATTTACAGCCATTTTTCTAAATCCCAAGGTGGGATTTATATTTCAAGACTGAATTAATCAACCTACAATATATACTGCAGTTTGCAGTTTCACTCAGTATACAAGGAAAATACCAATACAGATTAAGTGATCATATGCAGGAGGGAATGATGAAACCAATCTGCTAATTGTTAATTAGTGAGAGAGGAGATCGTGGTATAAGTGATGGCTTTAGGTCCTTTACTTGGAAGGACTCGAATGAATTGTTTTCTCGAAACTCCTCTAGTAGAGTCTCCATTGGCATGGCTCGCAACGACTCAATTGTTCCCTTGCTTGGTACATCTGGTTCAGACCTAATTGGTGTTGTTCCAGTTGGCTCATAATCCTGAACATCAGTCAGAAAAGTAATAAAGGTTCAGCATAAGTACACAGTACAACGTCTTGTCTTAACTAGAAAATGCCAAGAGCTACGAATGGATTATTATAAAGTGAAAAATAATGTAGCAAGGAATGGTATGTAGGGCTCATCTACTTTTAAGGGCATTTTTCTCTTTATATATTTCATCTCCATATTGCTAATACATGTAATTCTTATTCCACGTTTCTATCCTACATAAAACAACACATGAATTCCCTCATAGCTTAGTGTTTCTATTATCTAATAACATCAACCAAGCAGGTATTAGGTATGTAGGGATTTATTTTTCTTATTCGGCCAACAGAATTTCACTAGTTATGCGGAAAATGGAATATGACAGCATTGTCTTATCTACTAACCAACATCAAAAAAAGTCGTAACAAAGTGAAATTCTGAGAAGCTAAATATGTCCAGGGTAGATCCTGAACATTTTAAGTGTAGTAAGATTCTTGATCAACATACCATAAACTTCTGCTGAAATGTTTCAAGGGCCTTCTGTTCAATGGAGGTAGACTGTGTGCAATGATCTTTCTTAAGTTCATCAAGGGTCTCCGAGTGTGCACTGGCTGTATCCAAAATGCCAGATATAGATCCTCTCTCTTCCCCTGATATGCCTGGATAAGAATGAAACCAGAGGAAACATTACAAAACAGCATTCAATAGTCATCACCAAATCACGCCAACCATAAAAAAAAACACCATTGTATAAGCTACTTTTTTGGAAAAATTACTACTTCAAAAATTGAAACAACATATTGGGCAGCAGCACCCGAACCAAAATATGAACTAATCATGACAGACGAAACTAGATAATCTACTATGAAATGTACTATGTCATTTTACTATGTTAGAATTTTTGCTTGTATGAGCACAATTTACTTCCAAAATGTCTAACTTATTGCCTATAGAAGATTTTCTTTAGTATTGAACTGCATGCCTACCTTTTTGTTCTGTTAAAAAAAAACTCAAAGCGACAACCCAAAATCAGAACATACTAGACAAATTTTTAAAATCTTACCGTCAATAGATTTAATGATATCTTCACTATTCCGTTTCACAGCTTCTTCAGCAGCTTCCCTTGTGGAATCAAATTCAATTACATGTTGCTCATTGCTATCGCATATGTTCCTGTAACAGGGAAAGGAAAAAAAAAGAGATGTCATAATGATGTTGGATGCGGTGCTCAAGTTTCTCTAAAAAAAAAAGTAATAAGCTCATATTTGTTTTTCAAATACCCAACAACATAGTCAATATATATTATATTTCTGCAGGTTCATGTCCTGTTGTTTGTTATAAACCTTCCGAGATCCATTATTGCTGACAATGCAAGTTTAACCACTCACAAATTCCCTAAGCGCTTCTAGATATAGGCAATTGTCTTATATTCTCCCAAGTCCCAACAAATTTCAACTACTTGATGGTTCTCTTTCACCAGTACAAAATAATACATAGCATCCATAAAAACACTCTTAATTCCCAGCTCCAATGAAGTTGTCTCAGTGAATAGGAAACAAGAGTATTATAAGTTCATTTGAACACTCGGAAATATTTTCAACCAATACAATGACAATTTATGTTGCAAACCCTACCACTGGTTCTGGAACAAAGGAAGCAGATATTGAGTGAATAGGCACAAATGAACAAAAGATGAAAAGACATAACATTTCCCAAAATAGTTTCTTTAACTAACAGTGTTAATAGGCAAAAAAAGGAACTGAAAATTGAACAAAAAATTGGAAACCTCCCCAATCCCTATCAACAATTTAATTAGATGGTGGTAGGAATATTACACCTGTTGGTTATTTCTATTTATCTGTTTGCAGAGGAAGGCGGTTTTCTTGTCATAAATAAACGAACTAACATGTTTAGTATGGCTTTAGATAATTTACTTTTCAGACAAGGAGTTGAATTCTTATACATTTACAAAACGTAAGGTAATATACATCTTTCATTTATTAGAAGTAACCAATGTGTTACTTATCTGCTCTCTTCAGGCAGAATAAAATACCAAGTAACATTGAAAGTTTACCTGACAACAGAATGCATTGTTGAAACCTGTTGATTGCCCATGTCTTTTGCCAATTCATGAGTACTTTGCCACCGTTTCACAGTTGTTTCAGTTGTGCTTACACTGCATAGAAAAGCCACACACAATTGCTTACGGAAAAAGTAGAAGCAAAAATATTTAAAATGAAATAGAATAAAGGAGAAACAACTATTCGTTGAAAAAGGCCAACAAATTCAGATCAGAGTTGAGTTAACCAAATAACAACTACTGAAACTTAGCAGAATTTTAAAAATCACATATATAAGGTGCAAATTCAGATACTTACCACTTCTGCATGAGTAACTCCATTCGGCAATGTTTAGCAGCTGAGAAATCAGCATTTTCTTTGGTCTCACCTTCTGCTTGTGTATAAAATTCCTGCCATTTTCTTTTTGCATCTGTTGTAATACCTTCCATAGAGGATACATGCCCATCCAAGAATGTCTTATTCCCAGAAACAGTTTCTCTAAGATCACCAAGCCTTGCACCAACCTGTCAGGTAGACTTTGAGAACAGGAACAGAAGAAAGATCATATGTATATTACATAAGATGGGAAATCTTAGAGTATAAAAACAAACCAGTTCTTTTTGGCGACGCATGTGATCGGAGACCAAGGAAGTCACCTCAGCAATAAGCTTTTCTGCATCTGATTTTGATTGCTCCTAAAGTAGACAAACACAGACATCAAAATTAGAGGAACAACAACATTGTTGTATCAGATCTTAAAGGCATACCTCATATGCCTTCTCAAATTCAGCAATAGACTTCGTTTGAATCTCATCAGCTGTTGTTGAATGTCTTTCAAGTCTTTTTGATTCTTCTAAAAGTTTGTCAAAAAATCCTTGTATGATCTCAGAGATATTTGTCAAATGCTCTGTACTGTCATTAAATCTCTACATAATTGGAAAAAAACAATGATGAACGTGAAAAGAATGAACAATGCAGAACTATATCCTCAAATGAACTTTAACAACCAAATCTCTGGATGTAATAAGTGTTGATTATCAATCAAAATTTACAAGTAGAGTTCATAAGGAAACCTGACGAAGCTCTCTAGCAAAATGTGCCATTTCTCCTTGGTGAGTTGACAGAGTGCTCTGAAGTTCATCAAAAATTAAATTTGCTTCAACAGACTCTGCATCTAAAAACTGCAACAAGGAGAGGAATAAAGAAAAGGTATTCAAACCACAAATACATCTATTATTTTAGACTAACAGAAATCCAAATACATCAGAAGCTGAAAGCAAAACTTTCACGTCATACTTCTTTAGTGGAAATTGAATTAGAAGAAGCCAAAGTCGAAATTTCCTCCAGAGCAGCATTAGAAGTGGCTTTATGCAGCTTCACTACATTTTGCATAGCCTCAAAGTGAGATATGTACAAGGCCTTTGAAGAATTAATTTTACTCGTCAAATCTAAGGCAGCCTACAAGAAAAGTTATGACATTGAAGGTTTAAAACAACTAGAGAGAACCAAAGAAAAGCACAGAAATCACTAGCAGAACAAGCCAAACAAATAGAAGGGGAAAGCAGAAGATGAAATAGGAGAAGAGCCACTGGAATCCAGTAATCACCTTCTCATGAAATTCAAGAAAATTATGACAGATTTTCTCGACATGGTGGAGGTGTTCATTTTGTCGAGACACTGATGTTGCCACAGTGCTGGAAAGACTACCAAGTTGCTTTGCAAGCTCAGTTTGAAAGTTGTCTACCACTGACCGATTATCAGTGCTCAGTTTATCCTCTCTAGCTGGAAAAAATAAAAACAGATAGGATGAAGTGAATAATCCTGACAAATCATGCAGCAGAAGCGATTAAATTACTTACCAATTTTTTGAAACAAGGAAGCATTCTCTTGAATTGATTTCTCTAAGTCAGCCCGTAAAACACATGCTTGGTGAGCCAGGGCATTTTCTGAAAATATCAGATTTCAAAGTTAATACTGAATGGGAAAGCACACTTCAAAATGAATGGTCAGATAGCTATACCAGCTTTTTTTTGTTCAGAGATGATAAAATCCCGTTCCTTGAGAGTGTATAGATTTTGTCTCAACTGTTCTTCAGTGTAGGCTAGCAATTTGCTTGTTTGGTTCAAT